CTCACAAATGAATTCAATGCTAGAGCCATGCCAGTTTGACCTCGGATTTCTGATCGATTAACCGACTTGTGCTACTCGGGATGCAAATCAATTTTCAAAATTTGATGAATTCAAAAATCCAGCCTAAAGGTCATGTTGAGTTATGTCAACTTCGAACTCAAATTTAACGATGTGATACTCGGTTTGAGGTTTTTCGAGTCAACGATAGCTTGAGGATCTTACTTAAATATTTTTAGACTAGCTCAGACTCTCCTCAACTAGCCCATTCAAAGTTAATCAATATTTGGATTCAAAACTCATATTTTGGCTTTGGTGAGTCAAAACTTCATCAAGGTTAGTACGCACAAGTTCTGTCCAGCATAAGTTTATAACAAAATACTAAAACAACAGAGCAGCAGCATTTAAAAAGTTCAATTCAATGCGAGGATCAGAAAAAGCGAAAGTTTATTTTCTAATATTTTTTTAGAAACCCAAGCATCCAGAAGAATGGCTTAACGAAACTAGTCGACTGAATTTACATTGAACATTTCCAAATCAATTAATTCAGCACTTTTTGTAAAAACAATCAATTGATATTTTTGAATGAAATTAAATTTCAAAGTTTTTACAACCAGAAACTATTACTTCATCTACATTCCTCAATGTAATCTAATGCCAAGTTGAATTGAGCGAAAATCAAAATTTTTCTGAAACAATATTCTCAATCAGTTCCGTAAAAACTTTTTTCTAACAATTCCAAAACTTTTCAATTTGTGTGCTTTTCATTTATCGATTTATCGGCTGCAATTTGAGTTTCTCTTTTATGCAAATTGGTTTATGCATTTTTATTTGAGAACATGTTGAGTCTTTCTGTATTTATCTTTATTTCCTCCCAATTTCGGTTGCTCTATTTTTTCATTCATTCACTTGTTGTTATGGAAAATTGTTGTTTCAGTCAAACGGGGGTCATGCATCAGCTGAAGTCTATAAGAAGAGTCTTTAAGGATGGGTTTTGGGGACTCAACACCTTCTTTGAAGAAAATGACTCAAAAACATTCTTAAATTTTATAGTTCATGACTTTTTCTCAAGAAATCCTGATTGAAGCCTCCGTTTGGAAAGTAAAACAGTGATTGAACACTGGAGAGTAGCTTGAGGAGCAATATGCATCTCCAAACCTTATCCTCCATCTATTATTCCCTTAACATTGAACGTCATTCATAAACCTTCCCCAAAACTACCATTTATTCATCTTTGCCTTTGATTCATCAGTTTTGCATCAAACCTGATTGATAACTAAACATTCAGTGAATTTTCAATAGATTTACTTTCCTTTTGATTTGTAAAACATTTTTTTGTTTGCATAGAATTAAGTCTGCAATGACCCAGAACTGAAATCAATTGAGTTTTGTTTCTTTGTAAAATGTTGAAACCAAAAGTTTTGATCTAAAATTGAAATTGAAACTTACAATTTTTGAAAGATTACCAATTCTCATTCGAATCAAAGCTTATTTTATTTCAATTCCAATTCAATATTTCTAATACCTAACATAATGAAAGGTTCAAAATGTCACTGAGAATTAACAGACTTACATGGAATAAGTTTGATTCTAGCCCGAATAGCACAAGTTGGTTAATCGAATAGAAATCCGGTGCTTAGTCGGCATGATGCTGCTTTCGATATAAATCCAGAACCATCCCAGATTCACACTAGCTTGGTGCCAGATTTCAGATCGATTAACCGACTTGTGCCATTCGGGTAGTCATGATCTCACAATCATAACTTATCGATACATCTGAGATTAAATTTTCCTCATAAATATCAAACAAACTTCCAAAAAAATGAGCTTTAGGATAAACAAAAAAAATGGAAGCATTCGCATCGATTATTCGGAAAATAATCCCAAACAACCTGAGGTTATTTTTATTTACTTGTTCTTTTATAATCAAATCGTTATTTCTTTCTTTTTCAATTGTGGCTGAATTTGAGAAATCTGAGGAAGTTCAATTCATTTAGTCTGATTAGAAGCTAAGAAACAAGTTGTTATTGGATAAATTTTACTGATTTTCATAGACAAATTTTAGTATGGAAATTTGAATTCAGAGTAGTTTCTGTGTATAGTGGACAATTTTCAAGACTAGACAAGCTGAATTCTTGTTTACAACTTAAATTCAATAATGTGGAACCCCGAATGGCACAAGTCTGCTAATCGATCAGAAATCCGGTACCAATCTGATGTGACTTTGGCATGATGCTGGATTTAAATTGAAGCCAGAACCATGCCTGAGTAATCAGCTGGGCGCTGGATTTCTATTCGATTTACCGACTTGTGCATTTTGGAACCTGATCTCGCTGACTTCCCGAACATATTAGTATCAACGGGCACCGGGTCATAAACATTTTAAAATATGCCGTTCGGACTTTTGATCAATTTCGTTGATTTCTTTAATGATTGTAGTTCAAGAGTTCTTAGAATCAATAAAAGTAAGTCAAATTCTAACAAATCCAGCGTCTCAATGATATTTATGGCAATCAGATAATTAGTTCCGATGCTAGAAACTTAAAACTAAAGTATTAAAGAATATGCGCTTAATTACAATAAATCCAATAATCTAGTGACTTCCATCCAGCCTTTATCATAATGATAACGAAAAATAATAACAAAGGAATTAATATTTTGCAATAAAATGAGAACAACCATAAAGACCTTCAAGCTATTTCCCCAAAAAATCTCAATCTGAATCTACCAAAAAATTATTTTATCTTTATAAAAATAAAAGCAACAAAAAAAGAAAGCATCATTTTGGTTTATATTCGGAAAGTTTTTTTCTTTATTTCAAAAGTCCTTGAAACAGAAAGATGTCATTTCCAAAATGTCCTTTCAATCCATTTGCTGTGCAATTTTCAATTCTCTTTTGTTGCATTGATCCTTCAGGCAAGATAAATTTACATTTCAGAAGTTTTCTTTTGACATTATTTTTTGCTCAAATTACTTCAGCAATCTCAAGCATCAATTTCATTTGAATTTCTAATTATCTCATTTCATATTCAGTGACTTTATAGAGTGCAATGCTTAATCATGTAACGAGAGCAAGGTTGATTGCTGAGTAAGAATAGACAATGCTGTGTTAATGGCATTGAGGAAATTTATTTTAAGATCGTCTTTTTGATTTGATGTCAGTATATAAAAGGATGAGAAGATTGGAAATTGAATTTTGCATCCTCAGTTGAGTGACATGAAAATAAAGCTTTAAATTGACTCAAAATCACATCTATAACCTCAACTATAATAAACTAATTTGATAAAAATATCCAATTCAAAAGTTATATGGAGGTTAAGTCAATTTATTCAGGAAAAGCAATCATGTGTGAACCTCAAATAAATCTGATTATCCACATTCAGTGTCTTATAAAGACATGAAAGTTTTACTACAACTTTTGAGTCTAGTAATTCAATTTTAAGCTACATGTGCTTTTGGAAAACTTTTGATACAATTTTTTTTTAAAGTTTTCTGCTTGGTGTGGTTGCTTCATGATGCTTGTTGAATCAGCAAAAATTTAGTTTGTGGGAAATTTGGGAGACATTCAGTGCAGGGAAAAGAGAACTAGCAACACAGAGATCACATAATATTATTAAGCGTAAACTAAGAATGTGGAATTAAACTAAACATTTTTTAATCATTTTGGTCAGTTCCTTACCTTAGGTGCTAACATTCTTCGAATAATTTAAACTATTTCGTGATATTTGTTGTATTTTATATTAATTTGTGATTTTAAAATATTTTATAAGACTGGTTTTTATAAATTTGTCGTTATTGGGTAGAAACATCCTTAAATTCCATGTTGCTGTGCTAGTCAATTAAACCAAACATCCAAGCAAAAATGACTGTCAAATTACCAAACACATCTCGAATATTACAAGTCGTATAATCGAGACGAAATCTAACGCCAGGATGACATCACGGAGTTCAGGATGAATTTTTCATCATAGGATTTCGTCTCAATTATCCGACTTGTGATATTCGGGATGTCAAAAGTATTGCTTTGTCAGATAGTCTGTCTTTAGGACAACTTTATTGCATTAAAAGAGCAATACAAATGATTTTAATTAACTAGTTTGGCAGTCATTTGAGAATGGTTTGTTGAGAGACAACCCAAATGGCCAAAAACTGATAAATTTATATAGCAATCTTCCAGTAAATTAAGCCCGATGGGCACACATTAAAATGTTTACGACCCAATGTCATCAGGTTGCAAACATTTCAATAAACTTCAATATGTATCAATCGGGAAGCTTTTCGATGTTCAAAAGCTACAGCATCAATGTTCTCTAATCTACAAAGATCTTGATTTGTGATTGATAATACAACGAACATCAAGATCAGTTCTAGATTTTTTAGAGATTAGAGGTAGCTACTTGCTACTAGACTAAGGATAAATCTGGAATTCTCTTTGAGAATCTCATGGATTTTCAGAATTTGTTCCATTGTTATCGTTTCCAAAAGTAATTCCAAGTTCCAATACTGGATAATTTACGGATATTGGAATCATTTAAACTTTGATAGCCAAGATTTCAAGTCGATTCGGTTTTTCATTTCAAATTTTCTATGAAAAAGTCAGTTTGACTTCATAAAAAAAATTCAAATCGACTTAGATCTCTGCTAGTTGTTATATTTTCATCTAGTGTGTATCATCTAGCTTGGAAAAGCTATTAATTGTTGAAATTGAAAATGACAAATTGTCGGAAATTGGCATCTAGTGCCAATATTTGTCATAATTTTCTCAATTGATTTTTGTTTTACCTTTTTTTATAGCATAAGATTCTCGCTCATGCTGATTTTTTTCCGATTCTTATATTTTAAAGTTTTAACATTCTTACGACATATTGGTGGTTCCTTAATTTTAATATCTAAATTAATCTAGTTTAAATTTTATGTCCTAAAAGTTTACCTTACACTTAAAATTTATAAATTCTATACTTTTTTTACTATTTTTAAGGCGTTACAATTACAGATTCACGTTCTTTTTTTATCCTCGTAAACTATAAACAAACTTCATGTCTCATTCCATTTAATATTCTATAATAATCACTTATACTCGAAAGTATTTTATAGACAAACATCGTCGAGATCAAATGACACTCATGTCATGTCACGTCTCTCTTTGCAGATATTCTCGTCACATTGTTCTTGCACCGTCGGTGGCTTTTGATAATTTATTGATTGTTTTAAGATTGATGGTGGCACAACGGGTGACGGCAAAGCGGACGACACAGGACTCATTGTTTGTCATCCGTAAAAATATTGTTGATGCTGTGATGTATTGATTGACAATGCTTGCGGCTGTTGATTTTGACGTATAGCTGGATAAAAGCTTCCCGTCATGTTCGCTGGAATCGCCTCGACTAGACCACTTTGGGTGGAACGACGAATTGTATGATGACCCATTACTGAGCCACTCATGAATGTTGATGGTGATGGGATAACACTAACTAGGGCACTACTGTCATTTCTATTTACATTTATATGTTGTGTCGGTGGCTGACGTGGTAATGTACGAAATTGTAAATTTGCTGTTGAAAAAAAGAAAGAAAAATTATTATTCAACCATCCATAAATGCTTAATTGATAATCCATTGTTTAATGCCAAAAACAATTCTTAGAAGAAAGAAGTGGAAAATTCAGCAGATTCATCATTGAATGATACAGGAAGTAAAGAAGAAAAGTGCTTTTGGCAAAACATAAAAAACCTCAAATCATCTCCAATCATTAATTTTCATATTTATTGCCTTGTTTGTGCTTTTTATTCTATTTTCTTTTTTAATGCCTGGAAAATCTCAACACATACATAAAAATTATTATTTTTTTTTTACATTTTTTGAGCATGTTTTATTGGAAAGCTGGAGGGAATTGTGGTGGGAGGGGGCGTTTTTAGAGTATTTTTGATTCCCAAAAATTCGAATTCTACTAAGTTTAATGGCTATAAATATGATAACAACTTACTGATCAAACCTTCCCTCTACCCCTTACATGTTGTATGGTATAAATTTTTACTAAACCAGTGCTGCTCAAATATTGCTGCTGAATCAAAAATTAACAGTCCCTAAAATTCTTTTGGCGTTACTTTGTGTGGGGTCATGACGTCACAAGGAGAGAAAGATGTCAAAGAAAAATAAAATTTGCTGAAATTCGAACATCATTTATGAACGATCCCTTTACCATTTTGTTTATTTTTAATGATTCCTAGAGCCAAGACCCGTCATTCTCAATTGCTAAACACTTATGTAATAAAGCTGCTGATAAGAAGGCTCGTTTACTTATTACGTTACGCAACCTTCTTTTCGAAATTTTAATTCTTGGTATGAGCTGTTACAAAACCCCTCCTCCTCCCCACCAGTATTATAGGACCAATTTAAGCATTGATGATGATGAGTTCCTATTACTCCACTATGAAGCGTAGGGCGTCCACAAAGCATTTGAATCGCACTCGATTCTGGGCCAAAGCTGCTATTTCCGCCTCCCGTTCAACAGTTGTACGCCAAGTAATTCTCCGTCGGCCCGTAGTCCTATTTCCTTGGACATTCCAGAAGATCGCTTGCCTTGCGATATCTGTATGGTCTTTCCTTAATGTATGGCCAATCCAGTTACATTTCCTTTTCATAACTTCGTCTGCAATGATTTGTTGTTTAGTCATTGCATACAGCTCAGTGATTCTTATTGTTTCAGGATAGTCCATGCATTAGTCCATGCCAAAGTTAATGCCCAACTTACTTCATAATGATGCATCAATTCCGAGTATTGAAGGTTTTATGCTTTCAAGCCTTAAATATCCCCCATCAACTAATAGCTAACATCATAATGTTGTTGTTCATTTTAAAAACATTTTCATACTTGTGCTACCTTCTTAGTATTCCCTCGTGTTATTTCAACCAAACACACTTGTGGTAAAAAGAGAGAATTTCACTGTTGCTGTAAGCACAACAGCACCAACATAGCGAGAAGAAAATAGAATTTTTATAAATATGATGTGGAAAATGAAGAATGAGATGGAATTCGTGCAGCATACAGAAGAAGAAGATGAAAAATTACTCAAAATTACAAGAGAAAAAGTCAAAAAAAAAATTTACGTGAGAAGAAAAAAATTGGAAGTAAAAAGAAAGTCTTTTTTTTCTTAGAAAATATGTGAAAAATCAGGCTTAAATTAAATCTTAAAAAAATGTATCAAAGAGCTTCTTGTTGCTAAAGCTCAAGCTGCATGATAAATTTTAAAATGTGTGGAATCATTAGGCTGATTAAAATTCCTTCTCTCTTTCATTTCGAAACTTTATGCTTTAAAAATTACCTTCAATAAATCATGCCATGAAAATATAAAAAAATGAATTTTGCCACCCACAAAAACATAAATTTTTATAAGATTAAAATTTTTCACCATAACTTTAGGGTTCGTTCATAAATGGCGTATGTCAAAGAATGGGTTTTTTTAAACTCCCTCCCACTTCTGTCACATAATTTTATTTTTACATTTTATAACTTTAGAGACATCATTTTTGAAGGACCCCACATTCTCATATTACGTAATGCTTTAGGGAGGAGGGGAAGGGAGGGGGGAGGGGTTGAGATAGTTAAAACAAGGAAATCAAAAAGGTCCTTTTTTGCGTTACGTAATTTATAACTAATCCCTCACGAGTCACCCATAATCGCACAAGAAAGATCGTATATCCGGGAAATAAAACGATTTTGATTTGATTTTTTTTTCTTGTGTAATTTTGGCAACAAAAATTGACTGTGATTTTTTATGAAGCATATGCTGAAAAATGTCATAATTTTTTTAATAAAGTTTAAACTTGTCTTTGAGATGATTGTTCTGGAAAAAAAGATTTTTATTGGGAATTGAAGGAAGTAGACTTGAATTTTAGGATTTCTTTTGAGAATGAAGGACTAAGCTAAGGTTTATGTACATCCAGAAAAACAGTAAGAATGTCTTAGGGCCTTTTGAGTTAAAATTGTAAACCTCAATTGAATTTTTTGTCAAACTTGTTGTTGCATTGCTCTGTAAATAATGCTTAGTGGATTGAAGGACTATATTCTTGCCACCAAACATTTAAGGGACCGTTCACTTATGACGTCCATCAAAAAACTTAATATTTGACCCCCCCCCCCAGACCCCTTTTGACGTCCATTCCAAGACACAGAAAAATTATAATTTCCTGATTAAAAAATTGGATGTCACAAACTTCCTGACCCCCTCCGTCCCTTGTCACAATGTGTCACAAATTTCCTAACCCCCTCCTCGCCTAAATGTTAAACTTCATAAGTGAACGACCCCTAATATCATCAAAATTGATCCAAACTTAGTCTAAACTTCATCACGAAACTTTTCCAATTTTTACACCAAAAATAAAAATTTAATTTGACACCAAAAACTTCCAACGAAGTTTAGTTCCAAAAAAAGTTGGCTTTCTCAATTTCAATTTAATTCCTCGAATGACTTCCAAAACAAAACTTTTCAACAGAATATAAAAAAGTTGCAATTAAAAAAAGCCAAAAAAAAAACTTTAATTAAAAAATTTTCTTTTCATTATTTTCTCGTCCATTTAAAATTCACTTCCTTGCCTTTTTTCTCTTCCCATCCTTTTCTTCTTCATTTCACAATTTTCAAGGGTTGCGGGCAACAATCATGATGACGAGGAATGAAATGGGGGAAAAAAATATAAAGTTTTGGCGATGAAATGAAGAGAAAAAGGCTTTATGGAAGGATGGATAGATGAAACGACATGCCTGAGGGCTTAATGAATATTAATTCGATTATTATTAATAATGAGTAGAATTTTCCATCTTTAAAGCTTCCGTTTCTCATTTATTTTCCACTTCTTGCCTTCTTATTTTATGTCCCGTCCTCCTCAATAACTTAAAACTGTAAAATTGGCAAAAAATATTTTTCACGCTTACCTAAATTGGATGGTGATTGAGCTAATATTGATGGATTGTTGCTATTTAATCCACCAGAGCCTATTAAAATTGATGATGGTGGTGGCACAACACCCATAGCGACTTGCTGATGTTGCGGTCTTATTAATAATCCACTCGATGTTGAACTTGTCGGCACGATACTGACATACGGCGCTAGTGGTGGTGTGTACGTGTTGAATGATGACTTCTATGTGATTGTTTTTTCAGGATAGAAACAAAAAAGTATCAGTTATCACGTTAGAATTCGTTCATAAATGATGTCAATCAAAATATTGGATATAAAGACCCCCAAACCTCCTTGTCAGAATATTTTCATACTTAAAGATTAGGCATCATTTATGAAGGTCCCCAAAAAAATAGAAAAAAATACTCACCTCATTTTTCATCGGCAAATTAGACATGGAAATTGGTGTTGTGAGATCAATATCGCCACCCTCAACCTCAGAAATATTATCGCCAGAAAAGCCCTTGGTGATTGTCGTCTCACCTGTACTTGATTTATGAAATTTCGGCTCATCTTTGCCACGATCTTCGCCCTCATCACGTTGCTTCTGTATTATAATTCGACCGGTGATTATTATCAAGCATAACAACACGCCGACCGTCACTGAGATGATGAGATACAAATAGTAACGTTCGTGATGCTCTGTGGAAAATTGAAAAGAAGGTAAGGAATGAAAAAAAAATAATATTTTATGCATGAATGAATTTTAAGAGACACATTTTATTCTGCCTTATTGAAAGTCAATGCGTAATAACATGAAGACGATGATGATGATGGCTTTTTTTTTGTGAGAGAGACCAAAAGAATCTTTATGATAAAAGTTTTTGGCTTTATATACCCAGCTATATAAACATTTTGAGATATTCTTTACTTGGAAATTTAATAAAACTTTAAAGAACAACTTTTTCAATGTTCTAAGGTTTCATTACTTTGTTGTTTCCTATGGACTTGCTTAATTAAATTTGATTATGTTAGAAATATATATGCTTGACCTCAGGAGGTGTCTAACCTAAGAAACTTTAGAGTAAAGATGTCTCAATTAACAATATCTGAACTAATCTTGTACTAATTTCATTTCAACAAGACTCTTAATAAAGGATTGAGAGATCGGTCTCTGGTGGGAATCGAACCTACGTAATCACAGAAGAGGAACAGATATTCGGTCTGTTGCCTAACGATTCACGCCACAGAGGTCTAAATCTCGAACTGGTAGATTCGCCTTTATATCCCTAAGAGTCCACTTTGCTGACAACCGGGCAATAAACTTATTGTCACGACTTAATTTTGTCTAATTTTTAAAAACGGTAAATCATGAAAAGTCCTCGAGTTTTTTTGATTGGTAGCACGGTGATTCAACTGTACCACACTCTTTAGACGACGAGTTTTTAGGGAGAATTAAGCCATTTGCGTCAAATTCTGGTCAGCACTAAATGTTTTTCAGTTTGATTCAGTTCAATACTCTTGCTTAAGAAGCTCCTCTCCTTTTGTAAGATTTCACTGTTCCAATTGTTAATTTGTTGCTTTACCATTGTAGGTCTTACCACTTATAATGGAGCTTACTTAAACATCATATTGATTAAATCTTTCCATTCATTTACCAACGTTTTGATATGCGCTATATTTAAGGATGTCAAACGAAATTTAATCTCCGAAGTAAAATTCTCTTTGAAGAGTTGGAAGACTTAGGAGTAAAGGAAGCTTAATATTCCGTAAAATTGCCAATTTCTAAATTCTTAAAACTGAAAACTACAGCAAAACAAAAACAGATCAATAACTTACAATACTTCCATAACATTAATTCATAAATTTTCAGGAAGCACAAATCCTTCCTTTGATCCTTTAAACATCCAAAATACTCAACATTTCTATAATGTTCATTCAGTAAAGAATTTGAACTTAATAAAGAGCTTCATTTTCAAAGTAACAGGAATTTCAAATCCGTTGATCATGGAATCATTCCTATCCTAATACACGAAGACAACATAATGTTTCTCCGAAAATGAGGAAATCTGATAAAATAATTTCAATGTTACATTAAATCGTTATCCGATAATAAGCTTGCAATAAATTTCCTCATGTTGTATAAATAGCACATGGATTGTGGTATAAAAATAAAGTTTATTACATCTATTAAATGTTATTGCTCGTATGAATGATTCCATTATATGCTGCTATGGATATTTGATTGATTGCTGCGGATATTTCAATATGATGAAGATTAACGGAAGTGGAGGAAATACAATGTTTTTTTTTTGAATGGAACTGTCTTGCAGAATTATGTTGTAAGTTTATAATTGCACAATTAGGATGAAAAAAATGTAAAATTAAAGTGTGCAGCTCAGGATTGAAACTGATGGAGAATTTGGCATGCTTGTTAAGACAGGTTTAGGTCCAGGTTACGATAACATCCTTAGATAGAGTATCAGAACCTCTTTTCAAGTTTAAAACGATCAATATAGTTGATGTCTTTGGTGTTGCTCCTTGTCTCTTCAATTTTACATACTCAATAAAAAAAGGTTCATGTGACATTCTTATTAAAAGCGAAGCAATTCACTGACACCAATCCCACTCAAGTGGAAACAAACAAAAAAAAACTGACATTCTAAAATGTTTAACCTTTATTGAAATCAAATCTCAAATTTTTCTTGTTTTCCGCTCCACTATTCAATCAATTTCATTCAATTTGTGGCAAAATAAAATGATGTAAAGTCAATTCAAGAGGTAAGCTTGCCACAGTACAAAAAAATTTCAACATTTTTATTTGCTCATCGTATATGTTTCTTTTATTGCTCCATGCATGCGTTGTCGTATACCCAAAACGAATTAAATTTCATCGTTCTCGAGAGTGAATCTTTTATACCTCACTTAAAAGTTAAGAATCTTTTGCTTTTTGTATTCGCTTTACGTACTTGTGCATTGATGTGAATCTTTTTCGTATTAAAATTCGATGATTTTGAATTATTTAGAAGTAATTTTTGTGGTGAGATATTTTAGACAAATAGGATTGCGGGTTTGCTGTACTTTTTTTGTGAATTATTGAAAATTTAATCTAAAATTATTTTTTGAGACAATTGTTACGATTTTATTGGTGAGAAGCGTTGGGTTATATAATGACTTCAAATCATTAAAACGAAGCGTTTTCAGCAATTGATCCGGATATTGCTTGATATTCAATTCCTATTGCAAAGATGACTTTACTTCTGCTATTTTAAACTAGCTTCTATATACTAGTTTCTGTATTCTTATTCTGATGCACTAGTTTCTGTATTCTTATTCTGATGCACTAGATTCTCTATACTAGCTTCTGTTAACTAGCTTTTGTATTCTAGTTCATGTATACTAGCTTCTGTAACTAGATTATACTCTAAACAGGGAGAGAGAATGGGTAAAGGAAAAAAGAAGAAGGAATAAGGAGAAGAAAATAGGAGTGGGAACAAGGAGAAGGAATACGGAGAAGGAAATAGGAGTGGGAACAAGGAGAAGGAATAAGGAGAGGGAATAAGGAGAGGGAATCAGGGGAGGGAATAAGGTGAGAGAATAAGAAGAGGGAATAGGAGAGGAAATAAAGAGTGGGAATCAGCCTCTGGTAAGAATCGAACACAATTTTAATTGAGAAATCCAGTTTTTGGGTCGATTGCCTTGCTTTTCGATTACTGAAGGTCTACTTTTGCTTTTGGAGTTTCGCCTATTTAAAGATCGATACTTCAGATAATTCATTGAACTTAGAAAACTTTCAAGAATATTATTATTTAATTCAAATGATGCCAAAAATTACCTTTATTTAAACAACACTGTACATTAGTAATGGTAACTTCCAACCTATCCATTCCACAAACCTTTCAACATCCATCACACAACAAAATAAAAAGTTAAATCCCAAAAGGACCCTAAAAAATTAAAAGCTTTTCCTCATTAATTTCAATAATGCTTTTAAAAAACCTTCCATAAATCTCATAATCCTTCCAAAACAGGAACAACGATGTGATAGCAAAATTTTCGTGCCTTTTCCTCCTTCAATTCCCACAACATTCTTCATCTTCTTATCCTCACAAAAAAAGGAAAGGAAACAGTTTGAAGATGAGAAAAAATTATGCAAAAAATAATTGAATGAATTGTGTGAATAAATTTACTCAGCTCTATGTTTCCTGTAAATTATTTGTGTACACAATGAGCGGGTGACTGTGTATGTATTTATACGGATGACACACATATATCACCTTACTTTATCATTATTTTTGTGTATATTTTCATCGCATTATTCATCTCTTTACTGTCTACCTCAGCTTTGTTTTTTCCATGTTTGAAGATGAAAGTTAAGTTTGGTTTAGTTATGTACAGATAATAAAGGTGTATAAATAAATTACATCTATGAAAAGGAATGCTCAAATGTGGTGTTTCTTTAAAAAAACATTAGATATGAATGAGAAAGCAGTGTTGGTGGATGATTTTCTAGAGCCATGGAGTTTGAACTTTTTGGTAAAGATTAAATGGCTATTGAGAGTTATTCTTTAACCTCAGCTATTCTGGATAAACCTTAACTTTCTGCCAGCGTGATTCTAACATGTTGCTGGATTCAAATCATCATCATGCTACAGTTATGATATTCAGATCTGTGTTAGACATCCATTTGGCCTTCAATACAGGTTATGATCTTGCCCTAGACTACAACATTTAATCTGTTTCGACAACGTCATGTCCAGTTGATGTCTAAATGACATCTGAGTCAACCTTCGACATCTAGTTCAACAACACTGTAAGGCATCCGCAAAAGTAAAAGTAAAAGAAAGCAAAACCTTGTCGAGAATCACGATCAAGTTACAATGAGTTGTATGACATCCATAATAAGTATTGTGAGAGATGAGCTGAACATCTCATCACAACATAAAAGGTCAGAGCTTGTAGAGGAAGAACAGAAAAAAAAACTTTGCTCAACAGAGATTTCTCTTGCAGCCTTTTTTGCGAATCATATTTCAAGATGATTTTTTTGTCTTCATTTTCATGCTAATTATTTTTTTTTTATTTCAAAGTTTTCTTCATCTTCATTTAGATTATTTTTTTTATGATAGGAATTGAGTGCCTCAGACCACGAATTATTTTTTCACAATTAAGTTATGAAACTTTAATGAAGTCTGACAAAAAAAACAATATTGTGATTATAGGTTGATGAGAATGACTTCAGCACAGCAGTTGCTTAGCAGCTTTTTGACCGCAGATATTTTTTTTTGTAGAGATTGAAAAAAATAATAATTCATTAAATGAGTTTGCAAAAAAAATTATGCTTAATCATTCATTAATTAGTCCCGAAAAGTTCTTTCATAAATTTAATAAATGTGAGTTGCATAATAATATTGATGAGTTTGTGATTATACATTCATTAATTTCCGAAATAAAGTATCGATTGGAATGTCAATTGTGGACAAATAATTTTAATTTCGGTGATTTCAGGTCAAAGGATTATGTGGGTTTAGGGGAGTAGCCAGAAATATTTCATTAAGGGGGAATGAAAGACAGGCAATGAAGGATGCCATGAAGCTTAGAGTTAATTATATTGAAGCCATACTTTAATTTTTGCATAAAAGTTTCGAACCTTTCCTTGTAAAATGGTATGCTTCTCGCTATGTTTTATGCTCCTTAACTAATACATCAAAAAACCACTGGCCACATTTCAATTCCAGGGTTTCGTAAGCAAATATGTCCTGGAATCCAATTATCTGCTAAGATCAATCGTGATCTTATTCAAAAAAATTATTTTGGACTATTCAAGTAAAAACTGCTCTAAAGTATTAGCTGACAACCTTTTTTATGCGACGGACAGCCTTGATAGAAACCGCGAGCAGCACAAGATTTGTGGGATTTCCGAAATTTATTTGCAGCACATGTGTTGACCATGAAAGAATGTCAGCTTAATGTGCGGACAGAGAAGTTGTACAAACTAGATGACAGAGCCAGCAACAGAGTCAGATGGAAATCCTTTTGTTGAAACCTTAAGAAACCTAAAAGTAAGTAAGTATGGGTTGACCATCACTAATCTAATGCAAAATCTCAAAAAGTCAAGAAGTGTTCATCTCCTTATAATGCCATCACATTAGTAAGCTCACCTTTTCGTAATTTCTTTGATAAAGTCATTCGACCTTACAACAGCAATATGCATCTACAACTTAATCTTACCATAAAAAGATAAAGTATTCAGACAAATTCATCTACATTAATGAGTTCATTTCTATTCCAAAATCCCTGCTGCATAGTCCTTGTAATAACGCCAAAGAACACAAAATTATCACACAAAAAAAGTGAGAAGATGTAGAAGAAAAAAAAAGCAGCAACAATAATAATTTCTAGCTTACAGCGTATCATCTTCATCATCATCTTGATGATATTATTACTACTTCTATTATTGTTATTATTATTTCTGAGAATATAAAGGAAGAAGTGAAGGAAACTGTGAGGGATTGGCATGCTAGATGAGATGAAAAGAACGAAAAAATATATATTAAGGAAAAGAGGAAGATAAAGTTGGCTGTAAGGAATA